ATAGAAAGAGGGGATTGTGGCATGGCCATCCCTCCTGGGGAGTGATTTCTCACTTTCTCTCTCATTGTCTCTGTCTCTCTCTGGCAAGTGCATGTACCCTAAGTCAAAAAACCTCTACAACAAATATTTAAAATAAAAATAATCTTTTCATAACTGTAGCATCAATTTTCTGTCTCTTCCATAATATACTAGGTCATACTCTGATCAACTCACTCAGACCAGACCATCTCCAAAAAAGGTTACCAAGGAAACTTCTGCGATTTCAGAGTACAAGGAAAAGGCTATAGACCATGACCCAGCTCTCTCGATTTCTTTGTTCAATGTGCACAGTGTCCCCTGAGATTATATTTTGTTCCTACGTGTGCCTCGACCCTCCTGTGAAAACTAAGCTAACGGCAGCCCACGAGGGTAAGCTGACCTTAAAATGATCTGCTTCCCATTTATAGTACAAGGAACCACACTCCAGGAGCTTGACGACATAGACTTAGTTTTGTTTGGATTTTGCAAAGATGACTTTGGCAAATAGTGTTCTAAGGCAATCAGAAATAATATACGTCCTATGAGGTGTTATCACCATCCTTAAATCCCTCCTCTGAGAGCCGCTCTCCCTTCCTCCTACACATACCCCTATGCACTGGGATGTGCCCTCTCTCCCTTTCTCCTTTCTGGGTCTTTGGTAACAAGTGCTCTCTCTGTTTCTCTAGCTAGAGTTTACAGAGCCAAGAGCGAGGCCTGTTCCTGGTTCTTTGCCCCTCGACCCAGATCTTGCAAGATGGGTAGAGAAAATAGAGAAAGTGTTTCCAGAAACAGATCTTGCAAGAGGGGTAGAGAAAATAGAGAAAGTGTTTCCAGAAATGCACAAATAAACAAACATGCAAAGAGAAAAAACAGGCTAGGTGTGTGTGTGTCAGGGGGCATCATGAGGGAGGGGATGAGAAAGGGGGAGAAAGAGGAAAGAGAAGGCAGAGAGACAGGAGGGGAATGGGGGGAGCTGATATTCCTCCTCCAACGGTTTTTCTCAGTGCCTCATTTCCATCACACCAGAGGCCTACACGTGCCCCTGTGCCCTGGGATGCTCTAAGGAACACCTGTACCCTTATGATAAATGTCCTAATATTGTCATATCATGTCTGTGTAAGCTTGCTAACATTACAGAATTTAAAAAGTAATTCAAACTAACCATTGGAAGACAATTTCAATTTCAATGTACCACGCTCTCTTCTATAAATAAGCTGCTGCTACGAATTGGCTACCATCACAGAGCAGTTTAACTATAAACTCATGGAAGCAGAACTAAAATTCTAAGAAAGCATAGATTCCAGGGGCTTGGGAGAAAAATGAATAGTAGATAAGCAGCTGGGCCAGAGGTAGCATGGTGGTTAAGGCACCAGATTTCCACATGGCCTCCTGTGGTTCAAGTCCTGGGCCCAGTGGCTTGACAATTATGCCAGGTGCATGTCTGTGTGTATGCCTGAAATCCTAAGAGGACAATGGATTATGGCATGGCCATTCCCCCAGGAGGGTGATTTTTCACTCTCCTTCTCTCTGTCTCTGTCTCCTCTCTGACAAGTGCACATACTCCATGGCAACATCTTAAAATAAACAACAACAAAAAGGGTAGACAAGTAACAGGAAAGAATTGCCAGGGGGCCAAAAATTTAGGTATTTCTTAAGTACACATGTGAATCTAAAATGAAACAAACTTCAAATACAAGAAAACTTTACATTAGAATAAATGCTTTTAGGTTACAAATAATCAGACATGTGAACTCTTAAACCATTAATTGCTAAAATTCATAAGTTCATACAGATATATATATACCTATTTATATAATGGGATGCATGCATAGAAACATATACCTAGTATATATATGTTTTATACACACACACACACACACACACACACACAAAGAATGCTATTTAGACACTACCAACATTTGTATTATAATTCTAAACATATTGTTCATTTAACAAATTTTTATATACTAAGTAGGAAAATCATGTTAGAATTCTTAGGACCAGCAGTTGGCACAATGGCTATGTTGCTGGACTCCCATGTAGTCGATTGCAGTTCGAATCCTAGACCCAGTGGCTTAAATTCACGCCAGGCACATGTGCATGTGTGAAAGCCCCAAAATGCTCACTAATGAATGCGTATAGCTCGATCAATGATACTACAGTGAGTGACGGCCTTGATGGTGCAGTGTGAGCACACAATGAAAGCAGCTATTACCCTGTAGATTTTCTGAAACTTAATACCATTTATCGGTGCATACAGAGTGAAGGGTACAGTTCAGAACACCATGCTGCATACTGGAAATTTGCTAGGAGAGTAGTTTTAGGTGCTCTTACATAAAAGGTAACTGTGGTGATGAATATGCTAATTTGTTTGAGTGTATTAATCATATCCCTGGGTACTTGGGAACTTCGGAAAGCTCACGTAAAATGGAATAAAGGTACAAAATTATTTTGATGCAAAAAAAAATTGAAATCTGAGCATTTTCTTAAGTTATTTCTTTTATGCTTGGTAAGAAAGCGAGAGAGAGAGAGAGAAGCACCCTCGACAGACTCTCACCACACCATGATCCCTCCCGGGGCCCTCTAGCTTGTCAGGGTCTTGGGCATGCACACACTTCATGTGCTTTCAAGCCATCCTGAGGATCCAAACCCAAGGGCAGCTGTGTGGTTTCCAGCACTGTGGTGCTGTTGCTGCAGACTGCACCACATGGCTGGGCCACATGGCTTATTCATAACGCATGTTTTTCCAATAACTTTTTGAAGACTTCTTGTATATGTACATCAAAATATCATGTTGGTACACCTTAAACAAATATAATTAGAGGGGGTCGACAGGTGGCATGTGTGAATAAAGGTGCTGGATTCTCACATGGTTGACCATGGTGTGAGTCCCAGACCTGGTGGCTCACTTTCTCGCTTTCCCTTTCTCTCTCTCTCTATCTCTCTCTGGTCAAGTTAAAAAAAATACTAATAACAAAAGGAATTAAATAGAGAAATAATTCTTAAAAAAAACATACATAATTAGAAAAGGAAATGTGTATAGGAATTAGCAGGAAAAAAACAACAGAAATCAGTAATACGTTTTATCAATAAATTATCATAGAAATGCTGTGATCGGTTAGAGGACAGTAAAATGAACAATTAAAATATGAGAAGCTGATAATATTCTCTTAATTTAAAACTTGCACTTAGGAGATATCTTTCTCCAATATAAATGTTTTCTTTTCATCTTAAAGAAATCTATAGGTAACAAAGATCTCATATTTTTTCACAAAAAATTCATTCATAATAGCAACGATAACCTAAATGTTCCAATAGTAATAGAGTAACCATTCCACAAACGCTTTTAAGATATAAAGACTTGAGAACAGACAAGAACTGAACATGGCAGTAATGGGAGAAAACCCAGAAAAATCAATAGTAAATCCATTATTAGTTTACAAGTTAATAGATGTTCTCCAGTTCACGGCAGTGACCAGAAAAGGTTTCCACACTTGTGGAATAATTATTTCATTGAAGGGTGAGTGTTAGGTCATACAATCAACATTCACTAACCACATCTATGGCAATTAAGTAATTCTAACATACAGAAATATCAACTTAGCAAAGGGGTAAATTGGAGGGGAAGCACTTAGTATATTCTCTGATATCGTAGAATTTTGTTTGCTGTTGTTGTTGTTTTCTGTGTACCTGATACCTAGAAAGGTAGCGGGCACATGGCAGGTGCTAAATGACTGAATGAATGGATCTTCTTCACAAAGACCTAGGGTTTTAGTACAGTTTCACTTGCCCTTTCCCATTCTTAAAGACTGCTATGGCTTAAATGTTTTCCCCCCCAAAATGTATGTAACTGTGTTAGGAGGAGGAACCTTAAAGAAGTCTTAAGCTATGAGGTCCCCCTTGATGGGTAGAATTGATACCACTGCAAAAGTTAGACCCCTTTGTTCTCTCCTGCCCTCTGCCTTCTGCTATGGAATGACATAGCAGAAAGGTCTTGGCCAGGAGCTACTGCCCTGATAGGAGATGTCCCAGCCTCCAGAATTGTGAGAAATGAATTTCTGCTCTTTATAAATTACCCAACCTCAGGTATTCTGATACAGCAGCACAAAAACTATGGCAAAGACCACGCAGAAGCACTTGAAGGCTATCTTAGTCCTGTAGAGCTTAGCTTTCCAGGAAAGTTAACTGAGGACCACAGATGGATTTTTGTCTTCCTCTGCCACTAACCAATTGTGAGACTTAAGCTGAGTAATGTGGCCATTCCAGCTATTGGCTGTCTCATCGGTAAACCCTGGCAACTGTAATAAACAAAGCTCTGCAGACATCCTGATTCTATATTCCGGTAACTAACTATAATTCACCCAAGAATTTTTTATAAAGCTTGCTATGTAGGGCCACTTGAAAAGTCATTTGGTGTATACATACCTTCTTGGTTAAAACTTTCGGAACCATGCTTATAATACAAAATCAAAAACACATATAGCTATGATTCTGAATACTACCACTCAAGACAGTATTTTAAGCAGCATCAGGCTACAAGCCAAGCTTTTAAATATTTATAGCAAGTCAAAGATCTGACTTTAGGAAAAGGCAGCCGTATCCTAACTCATGTTCTCATTTCTGTAGGCTATTTGAACAATCCAGGTATGAGTTGCACACTGTTTTTGTAGTGAAGGATTTCCTGTTCCTTATCAAGCTATTTTCACTCTATGGTAACCACACCTTTCAATGTTCTCCTCCCTCACTGGACTAGGAGCTCTAAGAGGACCTGTCTCAATAAAGCATGAAGAGACTGATACCTAGCTTTCATTCTCACCCCCTGGGACCCTGCCCAGATTCCACCTGTTCCTCTCTTTGGCCAATACTGCAGGTTTTCTCATCATACAATAAAAAAATGAATGAGTCCAGAACCGTTCCTAAGTAACTCAATGGAATAGTATAGTTTTAGAACACTGAGGCTCAAAAGGGATAAATAACCTTACCTGGGCAAGTTTATGCCTTTCTAGGTCTCCGCCCTTTTCATTGTGTGATGTGTAAACTGGTGTATATTGTACAGAGCCAGAACAGCTTCCGTAATCTTCCTCATTTTCCTACAAATAAAAGCAAAGATGGTTATTTTTAAATACTCCTTTTGTTACTAAAGTTATTTGGTCACTAGATAAAGTATCTGATGCACATGAAAATAACAAAACACACTTCAGCTACAAGTTTAAATAAGAAGAAAATGAATTTTTCTATAACGTGAACTAATCATTTCCCAAATAATCTCTATTATGAATAATTATTTAAATAAACTTTACGTGAAGATAATTTGCTCTCCATCACTACACTGGAAGTTTTAAATAGTATGTTTTCTCCAAAGGTCAAAATTCAAAACATATCAAGTGATTGTAATATCTGCAAAGATATAATATGTAATCAAACCAAACAGACATAAATATCCATGTACCTGCCATATTCATAAATTCAAATACAAATCTTAGGACATCTTTTTTAATAAGCTAACAACCTTCTTCAATTTAAAGAAACTATTACACGAAAGATTCTATAAAACCAAGTGTGCGCATTCCTGGCTTAATTCTACACCAAAAGTCTTTTAAGAATATTCTCAGCGTGAAGCAAGACTTCAATTGTGATATCAAGGCAATCAGCTTTATGAAAACACACATCCTGTTAGAGCATCTTTGAAGAGCTCCATAGCTCTGTGATAAAATATGCAAACAATAAAGAGATTATTCCGTGGATGCATATAAGGATGGCAGATCACTGCCCGAGGGCTTGTTATGAAAAATACATTCTTGAACAAAGGGCTAAGCATATTTCATAAGTCATTAACAACACAGATCTCAGGTGATTTGTAAAGTGTAAGCTTCAAACTAACCCAAGAATCACGGTAACAGGGAGAGACTAGGACACACCTTGTGTTTGAGTTTACTCTTCACTTCCTTTAGTCCCAGCTTTGCGTGATTTTTTGCCTAGAAAACAATAAGGAAAGCATCTTGCTCAGCATGGTTCTATTGCACTTAAAGACCTGACTATACAAGAGCGCATTCATGAACACTGGGAACTACTCATATTATTGAGAAAAAGAACAGATGATAATCTAAAACTCTACTTTTCGGGATACTGTACCACCTACAATTTTATTACACCTAAATCCATTGGTGAAAACGTGATCACTCTCTATTTGTCTACAAATACTGTGCAAAGGCCAACATTTTGCTTACTTTGCTTCCTAAGCTATAACAAACACAAAGCACATCAATTTGACATTGGGGAAGGAGAGGACAAGCTCCATCATAGCAGCAAGTTATCTGACACAATAGTTGAGCTTTAAGAAATTCAGGTAACTTGGGGCCAGCAGGTGGTTTGGTGGTTAAGGCACTGGGCTCCCACATGGCTTACCATGGTTTGAGTCCTGGACCTGGTAGCTAGCTTTCTCACTTTTTCTGTCTCTCTCTCTGGTCACATTAAAAAAGTAATAATAATAAATAAAATTACTCTTTTAAAAACAAAGAAACTCAGGTAACTTTATAAAGCTTTTACTTTCATTTTTAAATTTTGATTCTTTATTCACATTTAATTGTTGTACATCAGTTTACAAAGCTTTTAAAGAGTGCTTTTATAAACAGACATGGATTGTTTCATTAGCAAAGTCATCTAAATGTTATGACTATTTAATCCATAGTTTTTCTGGCGAAAATGAAGTCATTTGACAGTTTAAAGGATATCCTCCTGTGTCACCAGGAATCTGGCCCCAGCATGTGAGTCTGTCAGGTCTTGCTGTGACTCCTGCAGCCTAAAACTTAACTGAAGACCACGGGGGGCCTTTGGAAGTCCTCAGCCTTTGTTCCACTGGTAATTCACACTCACAGTGGCCAGAGGGACAGAAGAGAGAAAAGGAATTCACGTTTATTAATTTTCTGTGTTTCCTAAATACTGGGCTGTGTGCTGGGAGCTCAAAGTGCACTCTCTCTGACATCACAACGGCACACACCCCTCAGCAGACAAGATGGTGGGCGTGGGGCTCGGTGGGCGTGGGGCTCAGTGGGCGTGGGGCTCGGGTGCCAACCCCATTGCTCTCACACGCACCTACCGAGCCATCCTGTTTCCCCAAGCTGCTTCTAAGAAGAGTCAATAAACATCTTTCCCAGCCTTCGAGGAGAAAGATCTTATCTTTCAGTTTTGCCTCATGTTCAATAAAGAAATAATTGTTTATTTCAACACCTTTAGTTCAGTTCAAGACTTTCCTTGAGCATTTACTCTATGCCAGATAACTGTGGTGGCCACTTGAGATAGTAACAGGAAAGTAAGTAAAAAATAATCTGAAAAGCTGCTATTACTAAATTATATCCCATAGTTCTTTAAAACTAATAAAGCATTTTCTCACTCATTACTTTATTTATAAAACCACTGAATCTATTTAAAAGGCCTAAATTAATCTTTATGTTACCATTAGTTAATAATGTATTATTACCAAGGGAAAAGAAAAGCTTCTGCTCCCATCTCACGGGACTTGTACCCATCTCTGCTCAGCTCACACCAGGACTTTAGTTCACCTGAACATCCTCATCACACTAATCTTTTCAGAGGCCCCTTAGAATACAGAGCTGAGTCTAGTGTCAACCTCTTCCACGGTTCTTTGAATCATCTAAACATCTGTTTGCTTTACCACCTCCTTTGACCTCTTTCAGGCTACCTGAAAGGTGAAACACAGGTTTTCTCTATCCTTTCCAACTTGCCAAGCTGAAAATTAACTACATAAGTATTTTCTGCAGAAATGCACTAAGCCGTGGCTTTTACTAATGACTTAAAATGCAAAGACCTAACAAGAAAGATGACTTAGAAAACGCTTCAGCCAAATTAAATACGCACTTCACTCTGCTGTTATTCTTCATTTATAAGAGTGTGTGTGTGTGTGTGTGTGTGTGTGCGTGTGTGTGTGTGAACACTAGTTCTTTATGCCCTCTGTAAGTATGGGAAAACATAAGCATTTAAAGCATAGATAAAAGTCTAAGTGTAGGAAAAATGTGATACATACAAAATCATTGTATACATTGTAATAATATATTAAGTACTTTGTAGTATGTTCAAAGCATGGAGCAAAGTGATAGGAAGTAAGGGTATAAAAATAAACACAGGGGCATTATGTGTCTTACTGCACTCGACCTACTCTCTGCTCCCCAACGAGGAGTACCAGGCCGAGCTCATGACAGATACTCCAGTCACCTGCTAAATAGCGAAACAGAAGCAGAAACATGGCTCCCTTTCTTGAAAAGTTTCCCAACCATAGACAGTCAAGGTAAATAAATTCTATTATACCCACACGAGAGAAGTTGGGAGTTTTGTTCACAGCAATTTGTGGCTTAAAATGGAATTTTGGCAGAAAGATTCAGAACATGAGCAGTCTGAAAAGACCAGTTTTAGGAATAACTAATGAAGGTCATAAAATGACTTACATACCTGTCCCAAACCTTTTGATTCATGTCTGACATGATCGCAAGATAAATGATAAAAGTGATTAAGTGTATTCTAAAGACCTTAACTTGACTGAAATTTAGTTAGGGAGAAATCTTCCAATGAGCAGATTTTTTTAAATTACTCAATTAAGTTTAATTAGTTAGTTGATTAATTTAAATTTGACCAAAGAGGGACAGGGTGAGAGAGAACAAAAGAGACTGAAAGTAAGGAACCAAGCCACCAGGTCCGAGACTCAAACTGTGGTCAGCCATGTGGGAGTCAGTGCCCTTACCACCATACCATCTGCCAGCCCCCAGAAAGGAGCAGAACTTTTAATTTGAAACAAATGTATTCCCTGAAGAGAAAGGTTCAAAATAAAGTACTGATTAGAGGGACAAACTTTTCAATAAGGAATGAAGTTTTCAACATGTTTTCTTTATCGACGTGCCTTTATATAAAATACAAGTAAAACTGAGAAAACACACATTAGACAAAACAACTTCTCTAAACCCGGAGAAAACTTATAAGTGCTCATTACAGAAATTAGAAGAGATTCTGACTGTGAAACCTTTTTTAGAATCTTAAATGAATATGAGAAACAGGCTCAACATCAGTTTTGTTTTTATATGTGCTATAGAAGCAGCTGTGTGCTATTTCATTGTGGGGAGAAAAAAATCTCCTCAAAATCAACCCACCAGAGAAAGTGATCTACCCAGAGGGTTTCTTAGCAATGCTCTGGAACAGCCAAACAAAAGGCAGAGACTAAGATTTCTAAGCAGAATGATTACCTCCTTCAATTTCTGCTTTATGATGAGGCTTTGAACAGCTTAGGATTTTGGTATCATTTTTTTTTTTTTGAGAGGTTTTTGCTATAAGGCGCATGCGCTCGCCAGAGAGAGAGAGAGAGAGAGAGAGAGAGAGAGAGAAAGCGAGAAATCACCCCCCAGGGGGGATGGTCACGCCACAATCCCTTCTCCTCCATTCTCCTATCGGGATCTTTGGCACGCACGCACACGCGCCAGGCGTGAGTTCTAAGCCACTGGGTCCCGGACGCGAACCACGGTCGACTAAGTGGGAATCCAGCAACATAGCCATTACGCTAACTGCTGGTTTCCGGTATCGTATTTTTTAATCAACTCTTATTATAAAGTGTAATCTTTGAATTACATTTTTTAAGCAGAGAGAGTGGCTACATTTTATCACAACAGTAACCAAAAAATGAACATAAATCCTAAACTTTTATTAGAATATATGATTTTATTACTAATTCAATCATATCATTTTTTAAAATTTAGTTTAATAATTAAATTTAATAAAATTTTATTTATTTATTTTAACTTGCTAAAGGACATATGTGGTCACCAGAAAGACAGAGACAGAAAGACTGAGAATGAGAAGGCAAGCCACCAGGTCCAGGATGTGAACCACTGTCGGGCATGTGGGGAGTCCAGCGCCTCGACCACCTCACCACCTGCTGGCCCCATCATTTCATTTTTCAGAAAGCAGTGGAAGAAAAATTCCTACAAAATAAAAACTACAGTTTTAGAAGAACAGAATGATTTTACATACGTGTGTATATACAAGTACCTGCCTAACACTGACCGACTAACTTCCCTCTCCAAAAGCTGCCGGTGCAGTGTTAGACATCAACATGCAGACAGGACACCCGCTGAAACAGAGGGTCCTGCAGGAACTTGGTGTGGGGTTAGGGCTGTTTTTATTTTTGTTTGTTTTGTTTTTTTTTCAGGGAAACGAACGCCTGAACTAAGTCCTATGGGATGAAACGGTGTTTACCAGGTGAATTATTGGCAAAAATGGAGGTCCCACGTAGTGGGAATGACTTGATCAGGAACTAAAAGGCAGAAGAGAATATCTTGCATTCATGAAATGAGTAGTAGCTAAGGATCTTCAGTGACATGAAAGATGCAGAAGGTGGGAGGACATGGAACACGACATAGAAGCGGCCAGGTCCTAAAAGAGCTTAGTGGTCCTAACAATGAGATTTTTATCTTACTATTTATTTACTGTTGTTGCTATTGCTGTAATTTTAATAAGCCACAAAGACTGAAGAACTTTAATTACAGAAAGTCAATACACCTTTAAGGAACAGATCTTGCTATTTTATTCTACTTAAGCCTTAAGTATACGATGAAAATTTAAAATATGCTATTAATTAAAAGTCTGATTTCATAAAATGGCATTTCCTCATGGACTGTTTCATGAATTGCTACACAAGCCTCCTGATAGTTTAGAAATAACATGAAGAACCGTTTCTAGAGTACATCCTCTATGTGATGATATAACTGTAAAAGCTGAATTTACTTTGGTCAATATTAACTTTAAATCTTTTCTTTCCCCTAAAATTTACTTAAAAGAAAAATAAAAAAATATTCTGAATTTACATGTCTATCATTTAGGAAAATGTTGCATAATTTTATCAACGGAATTATGTTTAACTACCAGAGGATATATGTGCTCCCCAGAGAGACAGAGAGAGAGAGACCAAGAGAGAGGGAAAGGGAGAAAGAGATTCCCAAAGGGGCGTGGTCATGCCATAATCCCTTCTCCTCCATTTCTCCATTCAGTCAGGATCTGCTACACACACACACACACACACACACACACACCACACACACACACACACACACACAACACACACACACACCACACCACACACACACATACACAACACACATACACACACACACCACACAAACACACACACACACACCACACAAACACACACACACACACCACACAAACACACACACACACACCACACAAACACACACACACACACCACACAAACACACACACACACACCACACAAACACACACACACACACCACACAAACACACACACACACACCACACAAACACACACACACACACCACACAAACACACACACACACACCACACAAACACACACACACACACACACACACATTGTTTTTCAAGCCTGAGGGTCTGAGATGTGAACCATGGTTGATCATGTTGGATCCAGCCCTCTTACCTACTAGGCTACAGGGCCAGGTCTACCAATAAAATTGTTAAATTTTAAAAGAAAACTTACAAATTTATATGCTGTGCGTACAGCGGGAGTTGCTTTGGTCATTGCTGTATTGAACAGAGCACCTCCTTTCTGTGAAATAAAACAGAAACATATTTCCAAAATCTTTTGGCCAAACTGTCTTAAAAAATGACACATTAGTGGTAAAGAAAATAGTTTTATTCCCAAGTTAAACAAAAACCTATACAATTATTTTACATTTAGTGTTTTCTAGTTAGTCTATATCATAATTTCAACCAAAAATTTCAACACTATCTTCTTTCATTTGGGTGATGCATCATTTAAAACTCATTTCATCTTTTAAGTTTAGGCAGACTTAAGCAATATGACCAGTAGTATGTACATATTTAAAGCTTAGTAAAAGAAGAAATACAGTATTTATTAACTATTTTACATTAGGCAATAAAGTCTCAATCTCTGGAAGAGAGTTTTATATTTTAAAATTCATATTAATAAGATTACATTACCAGAGATTATAAAATTCCCATCAAATTTAACTATTCCACTTAATTCTTTGTTCTGGAATTTAGTATAAGATTACAATACAATCTCAGTCTTTGTTTTTTGTGTTTTTTTGAGATATTTTGCTATAGGAGTATGCACTCTACAGAGAGTGAGAGAGAGAAAAAGACAGAAAGCTAGAAATCACCCCCCAAGCGGGATGGCCATGCCACAGTCCTGTCACCTCCATTCTCCTCTCAGAACTTTGGGCATGCACACACACGCACTCGGTGTGAGCTTCAAGCCACTGGGTCGGAGCCTTGAACCGCGGCTGGCTATGTGGGAGACCGGTGAGGTAACCACCATGCCATCTGCTGGCCCCAAAATCTCACTTTTCAAATGAGCCATTTACCTCTGGACAAAAACTTTCTATTTTAAAATTACCTTATGAATATCAACAAACTATAAAGCATAAAGTAAGAATATTTATAATGTGTGATGCTAAGTGACCATTTCAAACAGTGCAAATAAATAAATATAAACAACATGTTTTATTGAACATTTCTTCATACACATGTGAGTGAAAAAAGAAGAAATGTAAAAGGGTCATTATTACCTTGACTGTGTGTACCCACTGTTGATAGGTCCTAGGGTTCCCTGAAATATAAGAAAATTAGATGCCAAAAATATCTAGAAATGCAAAGAACCTTGGGGGCACAAAAAGATTCTTCTACAGTTAAGTACTAACATGAAGTAACAGCTAATTGTACGTCATGCAAGTAAACTGTAGTCTTAGTTCTAAAAGTATCCTCTAGCCATAAATCTGTAAATATGAATTACCGAAGGAAACATGAACTAAATGCAGTTTTTAGATGAGAGTCTCACAGTTACTAGAAAATCCAAAAGCTGAGAAGAGCAGTTCTAATAAAATCTAGTAATCAACATAGTCTATTGTAAATATGATACTTTAACAGTAAGATGGGCTCTGAAGACCAAAAGATACATAAAACTAATCTAGTCTTTCATACAACCGATTTCAGTTAGATTTCAACTACTTTCTTGTCTGTTTAAATGATTACTCCTAAATTACAAGAATGAAAAGTCACCCTAAAAAGTCCAGGCCTGGGCTGGCCCTGCAGCCTGGTGGTTAGGGAAGTCCTTAAGAAAAAGCACACAGCTATAGGATAGGGAACTGTGGGACCACTGAAGTAGATTCCTGTTACCAGTTTTAAAGGTTAATTGTCTCTTTAAATTATGAGTTAAGGTTATTATTTCTATAAAAATGATGAGACAAACACATTAGTCTTTGGTAATGTTTAAAAAGGGCTCTTTTTCATCCTAAAAATTAATTGGAATTAAAAAAAACCTCTTAGAATCCTTATTTTAAAATCACTGGATTATGGCAATAATAAGCATTATTAAAGACTTACTGTTGTTCTTGTTAAGTAATTGGTTTTCACACACCCTAGGACAAAACATTTTTCTCACTTCTGCCAAGATTTTCATTTCAAAAGTATTTGTTTCAATTCCAGCTTTGTAATTATTTATAAAAATATACAAATTGGCTTACATTATTCAGTAAGGCCAGAAAAATGACACTAGAAACTAATAATAATTACTTACTACCTCTTTAAATTTCTTTAATAGCCTAGTCAGTAAAGAAAAAAAGAAATAAATAAAAGACTAATCAGAGAGCACCAGGAAGTTAGTGAAAACACAAGTGCTGAGGAATATCACACACATACATAAAATCAGTCTGAAGCTAATTCTCCTTTTCAAAGTTTAGATAATCCAATATGAATTTAAGAGCTAGTTTTATTTTAAGTGAAAATAAACACCCTTGGTCCCCCAACATTCGTTAGCTGGTTCTTTACAGACCAACATCTCTCCTTCCCTAACTGCATCTGTTGTTCTACTGATGTGCTCTTTTATTACATTTTAATCTCCATGGTTGCTCATCCCTTTACATATTTCCTGATATGCTTATTATTTTCCTTTTCTGTTAAGGTTGAATTCCTGCAAAGCTTGTGTCAAAATAATCAGAGATAAACTGACTATCTTTAACAGAATCTTTAAAAAGTATTCAGGGAAGATAGAAAATGTGCTTTTACTCACTTAATAAAAAAGGCTTAGTAGTATTTTTGTTTCCTGAATGTTTTCTCATTAAGAAGATTTGTTATTATAAAAAGCAATATATTATAGTATTAAAGCAAGAGCTCGAAGCCAGATAAACACACGTGAAGTTCGCAACCTGGCTGCTACTAGCTGTGTGACCTTCGGCAAATCAGTGAGTTCAATGCCCGAAGGAAAAGGGGCTTCATCAAAGTACCTGTTCAGGTGTTGTGGGGATTAAATGAGATAATATCGTTCAAGGTCTCAGGAGAGTTTCTATCACACAATAATAAATGTGAACAGTTATTATAGTTATACTACTACTATGAAAATATAACACAGGCCAGGTTATTTCTTCAAGGAGCAGGTCAACATTAATACAAAAACATATTCTTCTTCCTCAGAAGAATAGCTTTGATGCATGTGCATGTATGCACACACACACACATGAAGATGTCCAAAGTAAGTAGGTATCTCTTAATTAGTAGTTTTAAAAGCATTGCTAATTTTTATTAATTTTTCATCCTTTTATCTCAAATTCTAGTAGATGTTGACTTATTTTCTTCTAAGAACAATCTTATATAGCTCTAAAATACCCTACAATGCAACAGTCAAAAAATAACACTTGACAGGCATATTTTTTTAAAGGTACTTTCCAGATGGACTTGCTTAAATTAGTATTTGTTAAATGAGGCTTTCCATTTGGATATTAGCTCCATCATATTAACATAAGAGTTTAAAGCCTTTTTCATTTTAATAAAGAATAAAGCAGTTGGCATTACATTGTACCCAAAATGCAGCAATCTCTAAGTCAGATGCAAACTGGAGATCACGTTCCCTATTCTTTTTTAAACAATAAGAACTTCAATAAAAAATTTTTAGCAATCACCCCCTACCAGAAAAGCCACTTTATTACTGAAGTACCTGGACCAGTGGTGAAGAATACAGAATTTAACTGTACCAAAGGATCGTAGTTCCACCCCATTACTGTCACAAGATGTCATCTTCAATTCTACAAAAGCTACCAGCCCCACAGGTCATAAAGATAATGAGACAGCAGTTATGTAAATACTGAGAAGCCGCCTCAAGCAATTTGTCCATGAGCTGACAATATTTTGCTTGTCTTAGTTGAAAAGTAAAAGAGCCATATTTTAACACAAAAGTTCCATTGAAGTTAAATTTTTACCCATGAGCTGAGGAAAGCGAGCAGCGAGTGATTCCACATTCAGCTTACTTGCTGAGTCAAGGAAACTAACTTTTTCCCCAAGCTACATGTTTTCAACAAAACGTGGCCCTTATATCACAACAGAGGTCTACAGCTGATAGTTTTATTTGTACCTTCTTTAACAAACAAATTCCCTCAATGGTTTCTATATTTTTAAGATGTGAAAATAAATCTTATTTAAGAAATAAAATTAAATTTTATGAAATTCGCAGATGAGCACTCTTTTTTTTTTTTTTTGGTCTTTTCAAGGTTTCGGTCTCAATTCTAGTAATTATTGGGTCATCAGAAAAGTCATGAGGTATTTTTCTGTTTTCCTATGCAAAAATGCATCATGACTTCTCTGACAACCCAATATTTGGTTACATGTAGACTAAAAACTGTTTCTTCAAAGTAAGCCTAGAAAGAGATAGAAAAAATTTCCTGTTTTAACAGTTCATAAATGAACATATCGAGCACCTAGGAAAGTGCCCAGTATACAGTCAACACTCAGTAAATACAACTGAGTGAATTAACAGGACATATATTAGGACAGAAATAGGACTGTATATTACAATAACTGTAACCAAGTATCAGCTCATAGATCATTAATTGACAACATAATTACAACCTTGTTTAAATATTTACATTTGAAGAATTAATTATATTCATGAAAGGGCAAACTGAAAACTTTTCTAAAGCTGTAGTGGTCTGCAAAGTGAAAAAAGGTAAAGATGTCTAAGAAATACGTTTACTTAAAAATGAGCTGTGGTGTTCAAACCTTTCCTTTTGGGATTATATTACAATCTATCATTTCAGTCATAATCTAGTTCTTAAATGTATCGTCACCATCACTAGTAGTTTTCTAGTACAGAATTCTACTATTCAGGAGGAGAGGCTGGAAGATGCAAACTAACTGAATTTCTATGCTATTTCCAGTAATATTAAGAGATTATCCAAACCAATAGCTACCCACTCATGAAAACCATCTAAATGCCTTGACTAAAGGGAATTAGGCCAAATAAGTTAAACCACAGCTCTTGCAAAATGAAAAATAAAATCAGACATTCTACCTATACACAAAATATTTAACTATCGATGAAAAGGGTTATATTAGACACAAGTGCAAAAATGAAGATAACTATTATTCAGAAAATCGATCATTGGAATAACTTGTGGTTACCTCCACAAAAGCCACCTGAAGTGATCTCCTCTTCAAATATATCAGAGAAACCTCTTCCTGCATTGAGTTTTGCCAGCCGGCCATCAATAAACTGAAATTTAAAAGTGTCAAATATGTTAATTTTCCATTAATTTCCTAAGATCGAATTTTTACTTAACATCCATCCAAAACATGAACAGCAGACTCTCTCATACAAATTACACACACACAAATTCTCCAATGAAAAGAGCGAGTGTTCAGTAAATAGTAGCTAAATAGTTAACCCATAAACATACGGTGCAAATTAAACGTTAACAAGAGCCCGCGCAGTGGCAGAGACCGCGGGCTCTCAACAGGTTGCTCAAGCACAGTCTCTTCAGAGGGGTTTGCACAAAGGTCCTGCTGCCTTGCCAAACCTTTAGCCCATGGGGCGTGTCCTTCACCTGTTTCACGGGACTGTGGCAAACTTTAAATTAGATTGGCCTAGGTGATGTGCTTAGCATGGTCTCTGACACGGTAAACATCCAGGAAATGTCAGACATTACTATTTTTGAAAGTAAATCAACTTCATCCTGTAAAATAAACACTTCTTATCTGAACTATAATGTCCTAAAACATAACAGAGCCCCAGATAATTCTAACTACTTAATAATAAAATATTCTTATAATTCCTGATACATGTATTGACTGAATGATCACAAATATAATTATTAATTTAAATACAGTAAAAATAATAAACACATACTGACTTGGCATACAAAAGGCTTTATTTATTTATTTATTTATTTATTTTTTAGAGAGATTTTTGCAATAGGGTATGTGCACTTGCCAGAAAGACAGAGACAGACAGAAAATGAGAAATCACCACCCCCTCCAGGGGGGGCAGGCCATGCCATAATCCCTTCTCCATTATCCTCTCGGGATCTTGGACTGCATGCACACCACATCCAGTGTGAGTTTTAAGTCGCTAGGTCTGGGACTTGAACTGCGGTCAACTACAAGGGAATCCAGCAACGTAATCATTATGCCATCTGCTGGTACCCAAAAGATGATTTTAAACAGTGTATCTTGATGTTTTGGAAGATGAGATTGGAGTGGAAAATGGGCGCTATCAAAAGTACCTGCAGATTCTTTTCAAAATGCAGATACCTGGGCAAATACCTGCTGTTATCTGTTCTGCCCATTCCTGCCTGTTCCAACACACACAGTACTTCAGAATCCTTGCTAATCAATATTGTATCTGAAAAGTATTCCCATGTATTTTTATATGACCAACCCAAGGTGGAAAACCAGCTTGTTGGCTTGCGTGCGTGCTCTCTCTCTCATGCACAACTATGCATTATAAATCAAATATATTATATATCTACGTATGTATGTATGACTAGCACTTGTTTACTTTTTATTTTGTGGATTTGTGCATCTGGAATTTGATGTGTTGAGGTTATTTCACTCACACAGAAGGTGAAGAATCATTAAGGCCCCCTTCCAGAAGAAGCAGGGGGCAATATAAGGAAGACTGACATGCTTTCTGCAGGGTAGAAATGAGGATTAATACAAAATGTTTATTTCATCCTAAAGTTATCCTTGACCATAGTCATTTACCCTGGAAATTTTAAACTTAACTAAATCACAGTGACATAGCTTAACTTTCTGAAAATATTCTACCCCTGCCCTCATTTTCCATTTGAATGGTTAATGGACAAAACTAACTGAGAGCAGTTATCACGACTGATAGGGCAATACAATATTCCTTGGACAACAATCAAGATAATCAAAGGAAGTTATTAAAGTTATACTTCTAGACTTGGAGATGAAAATCCCTTATAAACCCAAGTTAGGAAAGATCAATAGATTTCTGTTCAAAATGTGGTTTACCCATCTTTTCATTACCATAATATAAAATGCCTTTAACCGAAAATGTCATAAAATTTTTTAAGAATTATTTTATTTAACTTTATTTATTTATATACCTATTTAAATTTGACTAGAGAGGGACAGAAAGAGAGAGATGGGGAAAGTGAGAAAGCAAGCTGCCAGGTTCGAGACTTGAACTGCAGCCAGCCATGTGGGAATCCAGCACTCTTAACTATCACACCACCTGGTGGCCTTAAAATGTAGTAAGATGGATTTAAATAAACATAATCTAATAGTCTTAATTTTTTTGCTTGTTTGTTTTTTCAGAGTGAGATTTTTGCTATAGGGCATGTACACTCTCCTGAGAGACAGAACATGAGAAATCATCCCCCAGGGGAGATGGCCACACCGCAATCCCCTCTCCTCTATACACCTCTCCAAATCTTGGGCACGCACACACATAACACCTGGCATGAGTTTCAAGCCGACGGGTCCAGGACTTGAACTCCAGTCGACTATGTGGGAGTCCAGTGATATAACCATTGCACCATCTGCTGGTCCCAAGTCTTAGATTTTTAAGAACAGAAACTGCTTTCACAGAACTTAAAATTCTTTCAGGAGAGGGACCGCAGAGTCCTCATTCCTACATCCTCATCTCCTTGGCGTGCAACAGGCTTCCTGCCATAGAAAAGCACATGGAGCATGGGTGGTAAAAGGCCTGCCTCACGTCTGTCACTCCGTAGCTTTGTAGTTTTGGGCAGCTTAGCATTTCTGTGGCTCTATTTCCCCTTCTGTAAAACAGAATAATAATAAATACTTATGTGGTTCTGTACGAGCTTATTTAAAAATATGAAGTGCCTATGTTGTTTATGCAGAATAAATGCTAAATAATAAAGTACAGTCCCTATCATTACCTTTCTTTTCTTTCCTTTTTATTTATTTATTTGAGAAAGATTTTTTTGCCATCGAACATGTACACTAGTTGGAGAGAGAGACAGAAAGTGAGAAATCGCACCCATAGTGGGGATGACCACGTCACAATCTCTTCTCTTCCATTCTCCTCCTGGGATTTCGGCCACGTGCATACACACACACCTGGCATGAGTGTCAAGCTGCAGGGTCTGTCCAGGACTCAAACTGTGGTCAGCAGCGAGGGATCAAGCACCTTAAATCACTACACCACCTACTGTCCCCTACTGTCACCTTTCTATCTCTGTCTAACCATGAGTGTACGATGGGAAGGACAGTCTCTTTCTCATGTATGCATCTCTAATACCTGGCAAAATACTGGGCAATTTGAACTCAATAAATACTGCTCAAAGACTGAAGTATGTCGAAATGATGCTAAACATCATACACTTTATTTGATTTTAAAGTTAAAAAATTATAATGTATAAAGCCAATCCATTTTATCTTGAGATCAAAGCTAACAATATATGTTAGTATCTTTACTACAAATAAAGGGTTAATTTGAAAATAAGATGGCTTAAAATGCAAGCAAAATTTGACCTATACACATTTTCAACACAGCATTATAAATCAAATTAAAGTGATCTAATTTGACAGGCTAAGTATCATTTTTAAGAAAAAGAAGGTGAAAGCAAAATGATAAATTTTAAAGTAATACATTACTGACAAGTAGAACAAACTTACACATCCTTTTAAAGGACTTAATTTGCTCTAAAAGATTAAGACTACAAGACTTTTTAAAAGGTTTGCATTTTTGTGTTTACTGAAAATAATCCATCCATTTTAGTAAATGAGTGGAATAGTTCAAGTATAAAAAGAGATAAATCCCAAAACTATTTACTGATTATGTGTTTTTGAACATGAGTAACTACTCTGTGTTACGAGTGATCTGAGCCAATGGAAATTAATCACTTGGTAAAACGCCACGTGTTATCACTGACTTTGTAAACAACACTGTCAGCGACAACCCGACGCTCACCAATGTCCACGCTGAATGAAGATGTGCTTAAAATAAGAGGTCGGGTTTGCGAACATACACACATACATTATATATACATGTACGCAAATACATGTACCCAGGAATAACTGAGAAGTGGCGTTAGTAGCAAGCATGCTGAACATAACATTCCCACAAAACCCTTTTTCTATTTTTTAATTCAATAACCGCCTTTTTCTCCCTCAAGTAGAGTTAGTTCATAGGCACAGCATTCTAATAATTATGGAGCATTTCATAGTAAGTAAAAGTGATAAGAACATTTTAACTACTGCTACATAAAATAATTTTGAACTAAAAAATCAAACAAACAGACAAAAAACCACCATTATCTCTGTTGGGAAGCTACAATTCTATGACATGCCTGACAGGCAGTCTGATTAACAGTTACCTACATCCTTCGGCACACATGGATCTGTAGGAAACTGGGATACATGCGTTTTGGGGACAATTAGCTTATTCTCAAAGTAATAAGTAACAGGTGGCATGATGGTTAAGATGCTGGACTCCCACAAGCCCCAGCCCCAGCAGCCTGAAATCACACTGGGCTCACGTATGTGTGTGCGTGATCAAAATCCCAATAGGAAAATGGAGGAAAAGGGATTGTGGTATCGTCATCCCCTTCGCTCCCAGGGGGTGAGGTTTTACTTTCCCTATCTCTGTGTCTCTCTCCAGTGAGCATACACACCCTATGGCAGAAGTCTAAGAAAAAGAAAA